AACCTTGAATGATCTGTAGATCATACGGGAAATGAACTTGTGCTACTCTCGATCGGACAATCTATACCTCCTCGTGGTACACAAGACCAGCATGCATTTGAACTTCACTTCCATGGCCTTGCTAGCACCGCAACTCATTGCATATTATACGATGACACCGCAATTCAGAACTTTCAAACAATCTGAGATGCACACTTCTCCCTTTGCAATGGAATCCACAGATTTGACTGGTCAGGGATGAGACGAGACAATTACCGTGTGGTCGTCAGGCCTGGTTGAACATCTGTTCTCATGATGCCAATCTTGAAATCGCCTCTCCAGTCGTGCCCGTGTTCATTTCGTCTCGAGCTGTTTGATCAAAGGACTGCTCGAAGAGCATGGATCGTCTCCCTCTTCTCTTTGCAGGAGTAGAGATATATAGTGCTCTTTATGGACTTGATCGGTTGGATAGTCAAGTATATCAATCGATGGAGACTCTGACATCGAGATTACAAGATGCTATCATGGACTGCGTGAATACATCTCCGAAGAATCTAGTTACTGTCACGCTACTGAAGAAGATCATCCGCTGGATTGCTTTGAGAAATAATACAAACTTGAGGATACAGCTGCTGCTACGATCCCGTTGACAAAAACAAAGTGGTTGTTGTCACATATGCAGATTTTTCAAATGATGTTGGTGATTCTGATGGGAATAGCTTACTCTCAATTCAGGTACTGAATTCGTGCACAGAACACAGAATGGAATCAAGAGTACCACAAACGCATGATGATTGTGCAAAGTGGAAGCACGAGGCTGCTGGAACTCACTGCAGGGCAGGAAAAGAGATGTTGATTAGAATTTATTCGTATTTGTCAATGTTTTTTTTTATGTGATATGTATGTGTAATTCTTGAAATTCATAATGTCACATTAATTCTTGTTACTTGGACACATTGAATATTTTTTTAAAGCTAAGTCGCTTATACTTTCCATTTCTGATCTATGTTCCAAAATACAACAACCGAATAGCTTTCAAGCATAGGAATCTCATATGCTGGAACAAAATTTGAACTGGATAATGACATCTTATATCGAAATGTTTCTGTGTTTCATGAATCTCATGAGCAGTGAAGGGACTTGCTCCCTCGCCATCCACCTGTATTGCTCACGCTAACTTACGTAGTCAATAGCATGGACTGAAGAGAAGAACAACAAGTTTTAGCCACTGATAGAAACGTTTTGGCATACAGAGGCCTAATTACGGTTACAGCGTATTTTACTAGAATATCAATAATCAAATCAATCGAAACCAATCTTAAGCAACCAAAGATTGATCTATACAAGTAGCACATTCCAACTGATAATGTATGGTTTCAAATGTTAGAAGCCAATCTTGGCTTTCGTGAGATTGAGATTGAGAGTTCATATCATCAATTGGCACAATTTCTGAAATACCCATTGCCTCCTCACCATAAGATTTGAATCGGAATGATAACCCAGTGTCCAAAGCTCGTGATACAAATAAAAGATCTCGAGGAGTTGCTTCAAGAAACTTATCAGATGCAGAGTTTTTTTGTTCATCCACCCAGTCATGCAGGAGATTGATGATGTTACTAACATCTGCACGGGCATTCATTTGAGTATAGAACCGTGATGAGAACTAGGGTTCTGTCTGAACTGCATCTGATAAGTTGCTTGAAGCAATGCCTCGAGATCTTCTATTTGTATTAAATCTTTCGAGAAGCTGGCTGATTTTTATGTAGAGGTTGGTTACAAGGTTTTTCTTGGAAGTATCTTTGAGAACATTGTAACCTGTGCAATACTTTTGGCTAGAATAATTTAACGCACCTTGAAACTTGACTACACGAACTCACCTGTGAAGCCAAACGAAATGATGTGAGAACTAACGATAGAAAATTATGAGTTTCACACTACGTACAAATTCATGGACAACTTGACAACGACAGCAAATTATGAGCAATACTTTTGGCAAGAATGTTCGAAAGCACCTTGAAACTAGCCTACAAGAACACACCTGTGAAACCAAATTAAACAATGTGAGAACAACTGAGGAACAATGGAAACTTAAGAAAAAACACAAGATGTATAACTTCAGAAACAACCTCACAACAACGAAAGCAGATTGTGGAAAACTTTGGACAAATCATTAAATACAGTCTATACATGGACGCTTTACATTACGGTAGTCAATGTTTGAAAGTTAAAACGAGTTACACAATAAGTTAGACTCAAAAATCCATAATGCGTCAAAAATTGTATAGCCTGGCGTCATATTCCTGGCGAATGTGGCCGTCGAGAGGCCAGGTCATGCACAAATGAGCCAATCATGGGGAGGAGCCGAGGAATTGGTAGACGACGGGATGCCCGCCCTGCCCGCGTGTGAGTACCTGAGCAGTCCGGAAGCGGCTGCTGGTCGAATCGTTTAGGGCAAGATGTGCAAATCGCACGGCGGGTGTGCACTCTTCGCAGCTTTGGATCTGACATACAGTCAAATTAGGCGCCAGCACGCGCGTTCCATTTGCAGCCAAGCAGCGGCGGGAATGCGTGCAAAACCCTATCCTTTTTGAGGAATCGATTTAGACGGTGTTACAGATTCATACTTAAATTTTCTACTTGGATATGTATGAAAGTATGTTATTATTTTGAATACAATTAAACGTTATAAATTTATTGAATTTTATTGGATTCAATGCTTAAATATAATAGAACTATTTACTTTTGCATATAAAACATAATTGAAATTCATCATGTATGAAATTTAAATATCAGATTTTTATTTTATCTAATTAAAATTTGTATCATGTATAACTCAATGTTATAAAAAAAAAGTTTTATCAATATGGTTTTGATGATAGATTCAATGAATATTTATGAAGATTAATATAATTATGTGAACAATAAAATTGGAAATGACATAGAAAAACAACATAATTTGATATGTACCTAGTTTTCCTGAGTACAAAAAATTTGTTAATGTTTGAGTAGTATTTGTAAAATTAGAATCCAAATTATGCGTACTATGGTTACTGTAATGTGCTTCTAATTGAAAAGGTGTTTAGTGTTTAAATGGTTATTTCGGCAAAGTCTTGAGTTAACGATGCATTTCACAATGTTTTTCACGAATGACTGAAATCACGTCTACACAGATGAGAGGAACTGAACGCTACAAGCAACATCTCAGTAGTGACAAGAAAGCAAGGATTTGCAAAGGCAGGCAGGTTAGTCTTGGTTGGTGCGTCCAAAAAATTCGATACGGAATCTTCAATTTCTGTGGTCCTAACCAGTTGGCAGGAGATGTGTTCACAGCTGCAAGCTATGCGACTTGCTCTGGTCCTGATTAATGATAAGCCGGAATTATCAGGCTTAGATACATATATGAAAGAAGTGATATAATGATAGTCCTAATGTCAGAGAGAGACGCTTGGCTCAACTGCAAGAATCGGAAGAACCATGCTACAAGCAGATGAAGGTCTCGTATAGTCGCACGGGTCTCACCTAATGGGCATTCAGGCTGTACACTGAACGGAGTCGATTCCCTCCTAAACATTCGCATAACAAGTTCTTATCTATGCCAGGAATCCCAGCTTCTCTCCGTTCTTCTTCGCCAGCCTAGTCAAGCCATGCCTTTGCTTGGCATCGGGGCGTTCCGCAGGGCTCTATAATCTCCCCGCTTTGTGCCAATATCTTCCTACATAAGTTGGATTGTTATGTCGAAGACATACTCATACCCAACTACAACGTAGGGAATATCCGCCCCGCGTCGGCGGAATATAAGAAAAGTCTTAATATCCATTCAAAGGACAAAGCCTTCTTCAAGTATTATACAGAATTAGAGCAGGCCATCAAACACCTAAAGTGGATAAACCGCGAACAACAAAAAAAATCTATTTTAGTAAAAAAAATAAATTTTTTTTGAAAATTTGTTTCTTTTTTCGAAACCCAAAAGTTTCGTGTCCTTTGGGCCGAAGGACTTAAGTACCTCCGGTACGCGGATAACATAATTTTAGGTGTTATAGGCAGCAAACAAGCCATGATAGAGTTTCAATACTCAGTTATGACCTGCACATCCGAATCGGGGCGTTGAGTACAGTACACTTGTCATGAACCAACCTACTGCAATTCAGGGAGCTTGTGTGGGCATCGTCGATGAAGAAAGAGAAGTCAGTTTCATAGGATACTGAAACATCGTTGAAATATCTGTTGTGAATGTCAGCAGCGTTTCAAAAGCTCGAAGGCGATTCGAAATCTCTGAATTATATTTTAAGTTAAAGATTCGGAAACAAATGTTTGAGCCACAAAATTAACAGATCTGGCTCACTGGAAGTTGAAGTTGAGGTAAAGATGAAGGCTGTTGCCACAGATGTATACTGACAGCAAGGAATCAATTTTCTCACCAGCCATGTCAATAGGCTAACTACGGCTGTCTCAAGAAAGTGAGAATGCAAGTTACTTTATGTTACTTACGCCACTTGTAGGCTCACAAAGGTTTCTGGCAAAACAAGCCGAGACCTTACTACAGAAACAAATGCAAACAAAGTCATACCTGTGCGCTCTACTCAGCGTACATCGAACTGGGATAACAGAGTGATCGAACTGAAGGCCACGCCCCCAATTTGATATCAACATTATCTGTTAAAAGCAACTGCATCCGGGTCCGGTTGATCTGTACCAGGACCAGGTTGCTTCACATCTAGAAGCTGAAGACATGTCTACCCACGAGCTTCACTACATTTTAAGCTTACTATTCAAACCATAAGAAATTTCACATCCGAGATGAATATCTTTGCAACGATCTTACAATCAATCTTGGTATCTTAATATTCTATTCAGGTACTGAACGAATCCAAATTGACGAATCCAAATTTAGATTTTTCAGTGCTGATGCATGTCATCGTAACGATACCAAGTTGATACATATACCAAAGATACCAAGTCGATACATATAAATAGAGAGATATCTTGCAGTAAATATGTTGCAGCGTGTTGGTATGAAATGAAGGAGGAACATAATAAAAGAGTTCCTCAAAGAAAGGTGTCTTCATAATGATACACGAGCGTAAACTCTCGTGTAAAAATTACATATGTGAGGTTGAAGTGAGAAGGAGAAGCTGGTAGAATAAGACTCCTTCGAAAATTGAAACCTCTAGTCCAAAATTTCATTTCAAGACGATGGAAAGAATCTCATTCTCATCACCCCAGATTTCGACTGGTTGAAAGTGTCATATGGACGCAGCCTGAAGGGAACAAGAACTCACTGAAACCCCGAGGTACATAACAATGTGGTCGAGGAAGATTTCACCACGTTTTCTTCCAACAGGATGATGGAAGTGCTCTATCTATTCTTGGTTTGTTGGGCTAACATTTCAATCTATGGCTCCTCTCCAGTATAGTACAGTAAATACTCAGTAATACCTTATACTTAGTGCATTTACTCTGTAAATGCATCTTCCCCTATACATTTTACACGGGAAGATGGATACAAACGGGACGTGGCATCTACTCAAAGCTCTGAGCCTTTATATTACAATGACGCTTCTCCAGTCTGGAGACAAAAGCTTCCGAGGGAAGTATGAAATCCTGAATCGTATCGTATCAATCGTGAATCGTCGTGGAATCTGGCCTTCCGAGGGCTGTACTTTACACAGTCCAATTGGAACGACTCCGTGCTGACAACTGTGGTCTCCAGGGGCCCAGCACATGTAAAGGGCGGACAGCGATGCCCCGTTCATGCGCACTCTCGTAAAACCCGGCTGGACCCCTCGGATCTGGAGTCCAGAGCGAGCAGTCACGTGCGCAGCAGTCAGCTCCTGAATGATTCGGTCTAAGTCGGTTCTCTGAACACTCCGAATTTCAATTTTTTGGAAGGGCGAGCGAAAACTTGAGGATGCAGAAGCCAGTGTCGTGTGAAGGGGATTATGCTCAGCGTTCCCAACAGAATCACGACCCCGATCGCCGCTCCGATCTCGAACGCCCGCCAGAATGTACCATCCAGGAGCTCGGACGACGGAGCCCCGGGTGTGGCCAAGCTTCCGCTTGCGTTGCTGTCTTGCGCCACACAAGTGGTCTCGAGCGGGGGCCCGCAGAGCTGATCGTTCCCGGGCTTGAAGGACGAAATGTCGTACCTCGTGGAGAAAGCATTCGCCGTGGGGATCTCGCCCTCGAGGTAGTTGTAGGATAGGTTCAGATAGCCCAAGCTGGGTCTGGTCAGCACCGCAGGAATCTTCCCCGTGAGATAGTTGACCGAAAAATCCAGCGACTGCAGAAGCAACAGATCTCCGAACACCTGAGGGATTTCGCCCGAGAAATCATTGTGCGCCAGATTCAAGTAAGTCAACCCGCGCAGCTCTCCAAGCGCGTACGGGAGCCTCCCGGAGAGCTGGTTGTATGACAGGTCGATGGAGATCAGAGTCTCGAGGACGTACTCGTACACGAGTCGCAGACCTTTGGCCTGAATGGAAATTTGCTCGAACAATTTCCTCCCCTCCCCCTCGATCTGCGTGGGGTTGTTGTTACTGACACGGCTGCCTCCCCCGTCGTCGTCTGGCGACGCTTCTAGGCGACTAAAGCCTTCCAAGCCCGAGAGATTGGTGGGCCAGACTCCCGTGAACGAGTTGTGCGACAAGTCGAGCACTTGCAGCTCCGGAAGCTTCCAGATCCAGCCGGGCACGCTGCCGCTGAATTTGTTGAATGATAGTCCCAAAACTCGCAAATCGCGCAGCACTGGCTGAGAGTATTCGTAGCTGTCGGGGAGCTCCCCTGAGAATCCATTGCTGCTCAGGTCCAGGAGCTTCAGATCCGTGCAGTTGTACACGCTCACGGGAAACCCTCCGCCCAGCTGGTTCCCGTTGACAGAGAAGCTCTCGAGGGATCGCAGCTGCAAGAAGTCAATCTGAGTCACCGTGCCCGTGAGCTCGTTGTTGCTCAGCCTGGTGTTTTTCAGAGAGCTGCAGTTCGCCAGAGACGCGGGAATGGTTCCCGTGAGGTTGTTGCTGTGGAGGATGAGATACACCATCTTCTGCAGTCGCCCCAGCTCTGGAGGTATTTCGCCCGTCAGCTTGTTGACATGCAGGCGCAAGTACTGCAAATTCTCCAGACCTCCGAACTCCGGGGGAATCCCTCCTGTCAGAGAATTGTTGCTCAGATTGATCTGCAGGATGCTCTTCAGGTCGGCCAAGCTGGTGGGTATGGGCCCCGACAGCTTGTTATTATGCAGGAAGAGGAGCGTCAAATTCGACAGCTTGCCGAGCTCGGCGGGAATGGGGCCTCGGAAGTCGTTGTCGTTCAGCAGCAAGTCCTTGAGGTCGGCCAGATCACCCAGCACTTTGGGGATGGGGCCGGTGAAGGCATTGGTGTCGAGATACAGGTACTGCAGCAGCGGCCACTGGAGGATGACGTCGTCCGTGAGGGTGCCCGTGAAGGAATTGAGGACGAGGTCGGGGGTGTGGCCTCGGAGGTTCTCCCACGTGATGTTCTTCGAGCTGTAGCTGGTGCCGAGGTTCATGTACGTGAGCAGCGAGAGGTTTCTCAGCGGGTCCAGCGTGCCCGTGAGCCCGTTGTTCGCTGCGTCCAGCAGAAAGAGCTGCGTGCAGTTGTTGAGGCTGTCGGGCAATTCCCCGTCCAGCTGGTTGCTGCGGAAGCTGAACTCTTGAAGGTTGGCCAGCTGCCCCAGGTTCTCCGGAAGGCCGCCGGTGAACTCGTTGTTGAACATGTAGAACCTCGTCAGCGCCGTCATGGCCGTCACAGCTCTTGGGAAGCCGCCACGAAATTTATTCCCGTCGATGAAGAGGTTGTCGAGCCGACTCCATGAAGTGGATTCTACTGTCAGAAAACTCCCCGTCAGGAAATTGGTCCCCACGTTCAGGAACTCAAGCTCCGACAGCGATGCCAGCTCCACGGGGAACTCTCGCTCCAGGGCATTGTTTCCCAAGTGCAGGAACTTGATCTTCGTCAGGTTGCCGAGCTCGGATGGGATGGAGCCTGTGAAATTGTTCTGCTCGAAGCTCAGATACTCCAGATTGACGAGCTGGCCGTACTCTCTCGGAATGGGACCCGTCAGATTGTTGTTGCCGAAGAAATCCAAGTACCACAGCTTCGTGCAGTTGGCGATGGACTTGGGAATGGAGCCTCTCATCTTGTTCGACCGGTAAGGGTAGTACTCCTGCTTGGCGTCGAAATTGAAGAGCGTGCCCAGGGCCAGAACCTCGAGCTCAGAGAGCAGACCCAGCTCCTCCGGGATCGACCCATTGAAGAACCAGCCCTGCACTCCGATGTAGAGGACTCGTAAGCTGGACATGTTGCCATACTCTGCAGGAACTCCACCGAAGAGATAATTGTCGTGGACGTTCAAGGTCTGCAGCCTCTGCAGCCGGCCCCATTCCACGGGCAGCTCGCTCAACAGGAAATTGTGGCTCAAATCGAGGTCCTCAAGGTATTCGAGCTTGCCCAACGAAGGACCCAAAGTGCCGTTCATCTTCAGCCCAGAGAAGTTGAGGGAGATCACGTGCAGCTCATCGTCGCAGATGACCCTCGTCCACGAGCAGTAGGTGGAGCGATTCCCCGTTGTCCATCCATCCAAAGCGTTGTCCGTGTAGTTTTCGATTTCGGCCTTGAATTGCAAGAGCGCATCGGCCTCACTGGGACAGTGGCAACACATTGGACTCGTATGGCGTTAGAGATGAATTTCACTCATGCTTGCGCATTGCTCTGCACAGGCTCGGACGAAGGATACAAGCGACAGGTGCAGAATTGTGCACGTCTCTATCAGATGATAGCATGCTACTAAAGGCCACTGACCCGAAGCTGTCTTGGAGCAAAGTGCGAGATATTCTTCGGGAGCGTGCAGATTCCTCCAGAGAACGATGGTGAGGCTCATGACGAATCGTTAACGAAGTGTCCACGGCTTCCTCCTGAAGTCTAAACTGCTGCAGCTCTCGCTGGCTGCTGGGACCGCCGTGTGCTTGTTGCTGGCCCATATGCGCTTCAACGGAGGCCGCTGGAGGAAGCCAAAACTCGATGTTGATGCTGCCATGCTCTTTCCCGGCCGATTCTGCACGTGCGTCGAAATCTGGATCCTGGAGAGTCTCAACAAGAGTCTCGATTCTGGTTACTTCTCCGAAGGTGGTATCCTCTTGACCAACAGAGCAAGCACCGAGCTGGAGGCAGCATAGCACGAGAATCACCAGCATCCTGAAGCTTTCACGGAGAGAGGGCACACCAGGAGAGGAAACGACCGATGCCCGACCTGTAGATCGTCTGAGGAAGTGCATGGTGTCCACCTCCAGAGTAATATAAAACTCAAATCTCCATGTACTGCTGAATCTCCATGCATCGTGGAATTGCGAGACAGTTAGCTAGCCCAGCAGTGAACGACGCTGAGAGCTAATACATGGTTCCCAACAAAGTTCAGTCTATCCAAAATGATCTTCATCCGCTAAAGGTATCATTCTCTTCTTGTTTCACCAGCAGCTCTGATGACTAGATCGCTAGATGACCAGACCGGCGTCTCCTCTGACTTCGAGCTCCTCATGGAAAAGACAATGGAAAGACCGGCCGATGAACATCTTCTGGCTTGCTCTCCGGACGCGATGACCACCGAGGACAAGACTCGTACCACTCGTCAAACGGCCTCTGTGAGGCCGTTTGACTTTTATATCATGGAAGGAGAGAGAGAGAGAAAGAGAGAAATAATGGTCCTGGGTGGATGGATGGACGGGTCTATAAAAAGGATGGTGATGGTCCTGATCACGGCAGCAGTGAGCGCATATCACTTTTCAACTTTTGGTATCTTCCTTATCTTCCAGAGTTATTGTTCTTCGAGTTCGTTGACTTCAGTGGCAACGAAAGCTCGAACTGAAAGGTTCATGGAAATAGTTACAGTTGCAGAACGTGGCATAGCTTGATTTGCGGGCTCTGGTGATGTGCTCCAAGTGCACGGGGTTATGTCCGTATCTGATAACATCAGCGGACCCCAGCGTGAATCCAGTAGACGGTTGCCATGTCTGTCGGGAGTCAGGGCTCAACAGGAAATTGACCTAGAGGGTTGCAACTTCGCACTGTTTTGATCGACGCCAGACAATGGAAGAAATCACGTATTGGTGCCCCAACCTTAAACCAGCTCTTGGCCTCTGATTAGCATCAGCTTAGATATTATCATTCAGACCGCGACATAGGAACTTCCCAATGCCCTGGTGGGATACGACAGTGGGCAGTGAAAGTTGAAGTTATTAAACCTGCACTGCACTTTGAGGATCGAATGCTTTCTGTACGCCTCCCTAGGCACGCATGAACGAATTAGTCGGTCTACGGTCATGGATATTTTAAGTGTCAACTCCCCGCATGGGCGGCCACCTTGCGAAGCTTCTAATCATCGTGACGTGTGCAAAGATTCTTTGGCGGGACTTCCTTTTCTTCCTCACATTTTCTCCTTCGACAGGGTACTCTACGACAATAAGTCGTCTTTCCTTCCTCTTCTCTAGGAAGCAAACTGTTGGAATATATTCTCTGCTTCATAAGCTTCACCACTATATGCTTCAGAAGCTTCACATCTACAGTTGGTATATAGGAAGCTTCTGAGTATGGTTCGCATTAGGAAACTTCTTCTTATGGTTAGCATAAGTTTAGGGTGAAGGTGAACGTTGGAGAACCTAGTGTTCTTCACTAAAAATGTCTCTTCTCTCATTAACCATATTGAACGTTTTTGCTTCCTCAGAGTGACTTCTGTGAATACTGAGCTTGTTCAACATATCGGAGAAATCGACCTAGGACTGTACTCTTTCCTAGTCAATGATTAGAGTCAGGAGATTTCCATTCTGTTTTCTGCAACAGTGACTTTGTCGATCATTCTTTTGAAGCTTTTTCCCACCTTCATCATGTTTGGGACTTCTGTCTCAGGTGAAGATGCTATTAGCAATGTGGGCAGAATAGGCGATGAAATGATGCCGCAAACTGCATCTACTGATAACTCTCCTCCGATCAGTAGAATTGATGATATTGCTGGCTCTTAGTCGGAGAATGATCCCAGTATTCCTGAGGCATACCACTTCGAAGGAACAAGCAACTACGGTGTCTGGTACTTCAGAATTCAGCATGCACTCAAGAGTTCTGGACTCTTTGACTATTGCGTGTTACCATTCTCTGTTCTTGCTAGATTACAGGAGAGAGAAGCTTGTGCTAGAGTGATGGGTATATTGATCAACAACGCCAAAAATTCAAGGATGAAAATCTTGAAGAGGTATACTGAACCTTATGCTTGTTTGTCATATCTAAAGCGTAGATACTAGTCTCTGAGTGGTCCTCGTAAGGCTCATGTGGTTGATAAGTTTGTTGCATTTAGAAAAACTGAAACAATCACGATGGTAGTTCATCTTACTGAGATCAGGAATGTTGCAGACCTCATATAATGAGTTAATGTTGTTATCCCTTACAAGGTTGTAGTGTATTACACGCTGAAAAACCTTCCAAAAGACTACAACATTGTACGTCGCTTGTTGATGGGAAATACAGTATTACCCCCGTTTGATGAGATGGAGTCTATATTGCTTAGCGAAGAGATTACAATAGGACTAGTCACTGTGACCCGAAACTCCCCACCCTTCAGCGTTTGTAATCCAGGTGGGGGTTCAAGCTCCCATAATCCAACTTCTCTGATCTCAAGCCATGTGCTCAAAGTGTATTCAAGACAATGAAATTATAAATACTCGCTTTTCCACAGACAAATTGTCCAAAACTTACACTAACAACTTGCTGTCCACTATTTTCACAAGAGTGGCAGACAAGCTCCTCGTAACATAAAGATCTATCCCAACTCTCGGTGACTTTCTCAATACTACGACCGCGGGCCTATCCAAGAATGAGTGCCACATCTCGGACACATTGCCTCGGACTAAGTCAGGTAACACACCGGCAGCACGAGGTGACACCCTTCTTAACAGCAATCTTCACATCCAGGGAACACGATTCTACTCTCAACACTTTGCTCAATTCTTCCTCTTAGTGATCAACTCACTCTCAGCCCAGCGACCCTCTTGGCCTTCACACACACTCTCCACTCAGCCCTCCGGCGACATTATCAGCGGCCCCACGCACTCAACACCCTTGCACTCAGGGATTTCTCCCTCCTATCAGATTCCACCCACAATGTCGAGTATCAGATTTCAGTCTCAAAGCCTCAGTTCCCACTTTCGATTTCAGTTCCACTCCCAATGCCTACTCAGATTTCGGTGTCAATTTCTCAGCTTCCACTTTTAAACCCCATCAAATTTCTCTCTCAAATTTAACTTTCACTTTTCAGTTTCAAATTCAGATCCCAACTGTCAGATTTCAGTCTCAAAAATCACTTCGATTACAATTCCCACTCTCAGAACCTCCACTTCGATTTCAGCTCCCACTCACAGATTGGACACCTCGATCTCAGATCCCGATTAAATTTCACTCTCAGATACGACTCTCCACCCTCGGGAGTTTACTCCCTACTCCTTCGAATTCTCTACACTCCCCTCCTAATTCTCACCACTTCTCTGCGAAAATCACTCACATCCACACTCCATTCCTCCTACCGATCCCACCAGCGTCTCCACACAATGGCACACCACACGATCTCTATGATCTCTATCCCCAGGCCAAAAATTCTTCTCCAAAAGTCCAAGGGCCGAGGTGCCCACAGGCCGCTTGCATGCCGCACTTGCACATTCCACGTTCATGATCACGCTGAACTCCGCCGTCGGAAATCTTGTTCTACGCACCGCCTAAGGCATCTTACCGCCGAAGACCCTTGCGCCGAAGGCACCCTCCCGCATCCCCGAAGGCGTATCCCTGAAGATGTCCGTCGCCAAAGACGTCCGTCCCCGAAGACGTCCGTCGTCGAAGACCCTTCCCATTAGTAACTTCCGACTTCATAACTCACTGATCCCTTATCCGTTTGAAACATTCTTGGACTTGTTAGAACGAGAGTGTTGAGCTCTTTTCAACGAGCCCGTAACTAAGTCAAAACGTTCAGAATTGAAAAAGTTATCATGGTTCTACCTTTCCGCCGAAGGCCTTGCCCCGAAGGCCCTTCCGCCGAAGGCCTGCTACCTAACCCTATCAGCCACTTTAGACATTCATAACTCATTGACCCATGATCCGTTTCAAGAGTTCTTGGTTTCGTTGGAACAAGCGTCGCGAGTTCTTTTTACCAAGACCCTAATTAATTCAAGGCGTCACAAATTGAAAACGTTATGAGGGTTTCACTATTTCGCTGAAGGTCTTTCCCCGAAGGGATTTCAGTGAAGGCACTTCGCCGAAGACCTTGTCCTGAAGGCCCCCTTCCGCACCTTTGCCTACTAGATATTACACCAACTCCTAATCTTACCAAAACTTTCAGAAAACCCCAAGCATAATTTGGCAAGAGCTTAAATCTAGAATTTTAACTCTCATCGGGTTAAAAAGACATGTGAGCGCATTTTTGTGCTCACAGCAAACTGCTGACATGCTTACAAAGGCATTAGGAAGAAGCAAGTTCGAGATGGGGAGAGACCTATTAAACCTCAGAATTGCATCTGAGTTATCTGATTCCTGCTTCATAAGCTTCACCACGATATGCTTCAAAAGCTTCACATCTATAGTTAGTATATAGGAAGCTTCTGGGTATGGTTCACATTAGTTTAGGGTGAAGGTGAAGTTTGGAAAACCTAGTGTTCTTCACTATAAAGGTCTCTTCTCTCATTAACCATATTGAACTTTTTTGCTTCCCCACAGTGACTTCTGTGAATACTGAGCTTGTTCAACACAAACTTCATGAACCTGTAGGGTTACATGATTCTGGATGGGAATTTGATCACATCTGCAAGTAAACTGAGCTTGAATTGAGCATCAAGATATGAACAGATTTCCAAGTTCTAGCAGATACAAAGTAAAGGTAAAGATAGAGTTTGCTTCTACGGAGTAGGTACATCACATGTGGAGTTGTAAAAATCTTGAATGACACAGGTAACTGGCAAAGAAAGCAAAAGTGTAGGTAATGAAGAAAGTGTTGTTCTCTGGTGACTAAAACAGGTGTAGATATCTCAAGTATCTCAGAATTCACTGATCGTGAATGATAACGTCTGCAATCCAGGGTCAGGAGGATGATGACATTAATCCTCAAGTGTGCAAAAGTTATGCTTTAATCAGATTCTGCACTTCCATGGATTACATTTACGTGCGATCTCAAAAGCCTACGACTTTTTTTCAGATCCAAATCCAAGCTCTAGTATCATCTGCAGTGGCCAAGATTGTGTACCAGGATAACACATGCTTGTAGTTGACTTTTGTCGTTCAAGAATATAGCAGGAGTCTCACGAGAACCTTAAGAATCGTGACGCGTCTTCCTTAACCTCTGTGCCAGTTGTCCGTAATCATCAGGGAATGCTCCCTGAACTCACCCACCCATTAGCTAATTATTATGCTCACATGCTTTAATCAGCAAGATCTGTGAATATGTCATACAAAGTAAAGTACCTTCAAGGCTTGCATGTATGTTTTATGCAGGATCTAGGGATGTGACGTGTGGATAAGGGGGAGAACCATAGAGCTAAAAAAGCCGAGAGGTGACGCAGGATGCACAGAGAGTCAGTCAGGAAGACGGCTGTGCAAGGTCCAATGAGATGCTCTGCAAGCCGTTCCGAATTTTGGGAAACAACAACGTCACAATTAGTGCTG